TTTATTGCAAAGATCAAAGTCCTACAAAAGAATGAACAGGAAACTACTGCAATCACCAAGAACGAGTAAGGGACCTGAAACCCGAAACGGGCTTACGATGCTGAAACCAAAAACCACTCGTTAGTAAGGCTGTCGATGTCTCTTTCTTCCAAAGACTGCCACTTTAAAAAATTAAGCTATGGACTGGTCAACTTTACGTTCCCACCAATTTAATATTGAAACGAAACAACATATCGTACTGGTTTTCTCACTGGCCGAATCGTATAATGGCTTTAGCCTCCCTACAGCTAATGTCATATATAAGTACAATTCTTTAGCTGGGATAGGTTCTTTTCATTTCTTAATCTGTTTAATGGATCGAAACGTATTATCTCACTCTTATCTTTCTCCCCTCATACTTTTCTTTCATGCTGTAACTTATCGCGCCTTCACCACTTAGGCTTCCAAGGTCAACCTGGTTGCTACAATCGACTTAATAACTTGTGAAGAAGGAAAATGTAGGGAGGGAAAAAGAAATAGAAACTCACTTCGCACGTTGTGCAGTGCCAGATAGCTTGATGCTGGCAACTGTTGCATGTGTACGAAAGTCCTTCACTTTTCTCCTGGTTGTGTAAGGCATGGCAAAAGCATATTGTGGAATATTTCGCACGTCGCAATGATGAAAATTCCCAATGCTCATCACGGGCACGTGTCAAAAATGTGTCACGCCCGTCCATCAAATCACTCGGTATCAGTGGATCTGGATCCTGGAAATGCAAATTTTTTTACTGAACTCAGTTTTTGACTGTCAGAAAAAATCCGATTTTCGATCGAATCCTTCTCCATTACTTTCCTCCCACTCATCTTCCAAGCGTTTCTGCACATTGGCAGCACCCAAATGAGATTTCGCTACTTTATGCGATAATTCATTCTCAGTTAGCCCAGTACGGTGTCGACACTTTCAAGTATTAACAAATCTCCCGGCAAGAACTCCCATGTTTCTTGAAGGCATCCAGATGTTCCCCAGATGTTGCCCAAAATCAGGCTATTCTATTCTCCCAGCCCCATTTTTTCAGTATTTTTGCAAATTGTCCGTCGAGCAGCATTTTTTTTTTTCTAGATCACAGCGACATTTTCAGTAAACCAAGAAGAATAATTTCGGCTTTCGCGAAAATGACAACACACTCTATTACGCAAAGCCGTCCGATTGTCGTCTGCTATAGCCTTCGAAAAGGCGGCATATTTAATGGAACGAACAGTCCGTAGGTACTACTGAAGCTATCATAACGTTTTCCCTTCTGCTTCTGTCGTCTTTCTCTTTTCCATTACGTACTGCAACTGTCATACTGACGAGGTCCTGTCGCGGTGTTAAGACGTATATGACTTAATGGAGCGAAACGTCTTATCTCGCTCTTATCTTCCCTCACATTGCTATGTATCGCACCTTCGCCATTTAGGCTTCCAGGGTCAATTTGGTTGCTACAATCAGCTTGGTATTATTGTTGAATTTGTCAACGTTTTATTGTTCACTTATGCGTTGAAGAGTCTTTTCTGTGCCAGTAGGCCAGTAGTTCTCTTTCATTCAGACGTATGACAGATGGATGTTCTGAAAGACGAATAACTAATATCAAAACCGGATTGTTACCAGTAGAAATAGCAAATCTTTGAGAAAGATAACATTGCAAAACGAACCTTGATTTCGTTGTTCTGTGCAGATAGTTCCGACTGAGGTGACATTAGTCGGATGGTGAAAAACACTTCTTTATGCTTTTCAAAATTAACGTACAATTTGTCGGTTACTTCATTGCCGGTTTGCGAACAAACCTTTTTCTTGTTCTTGGAGCTCCCTTTTTTCAAGTTATTCTTTTTCTTACTGAAATCAAACTTGACTCTGTTACCATTCATCGATCTCTAATGCATTAAAATTAATAACAAACCTATAAATTCTTTCATTTTTCAAAAACTCTCAGATCTCCGAAGGGTACAAGAAAAAACTCACTAGACAGAATCAGCTAAATGCTTAATGAGCCTCATTCATCCCATCAAATTAAAGAGTCTTATTCATCCGCTCATCCAGGCAGCCGAATATGCTCAGCCTTAGAAAATATCCGCATTCGCAGACCCGAGGCAACAATCTTTGTACATATTCACGATACCACATTCCTAAGTGTAATTTAATCAACCTCAGTGAGGCTCTTTTTGGCAAAACTGACCTATTTTTCTTGGTCTTTCCACTGTCGCCATCATGTACCACATCGTCGCCGTCTTCATCTTCGGCATTTAGCTGTTCCTGTCGTGCCGCTTCTTCAAGTCGTTTACGTTCGAGCTCCTCGTTCTGGACTTCTCGAATGCAATCTTCAATTACATTCGGCCAGAAATCGCCTTCAAAATATGGCAATGCCATTGGTGTTACCAAATTGTCGTCTCGAGCCTAAAATGAATGATATGGTGGCATCTGAAACCCAGTAAAAAACTCCAAATAAAAAATACAGTTAAGATCTAAAAAAGTAAAATTTCTACAAACAGTTGTGCGGAAACAATTCAAAAATATATCATTTCTGGCTTCATCACACGCCACATCTATTCCAAACATCTTCAACAATTTTATCCAATCTTACAATCAGAGCCTGCCCGGAAAGATAACCGTTTCGGGAAGATGTCACGCGGATTATATCCGAATGTCCCTGTTTCCTAAAGGATTAGTGGAGGATATCTTACTAGGACGTCTAGCTGCTGGTTGCTTTCCGCTTTACAAATTAACTCCAAAGTTGTCCGCTAAAAA